GAGAGAGAGAGAGAGAGAGAGAGAGAGAGAGAGAGAGAGAGATAGAGATAGAAGATAGAGTTAGAGATAGAGATAGAGAGAGAGAGAGAGAGAGAGAGAGAAGAGAGAGAGAGATAGAGATAGAGATTAGAGATAGAGATAGAGATAGAGAGAGATGAGAGAGAGAGAGGAGAGAGAGCGAGAGAAGAGAAGAGATAGAGATAGAGATAGAGATAGAGATTACGAGATAGGAAGATAGAAGATAGAGATAGAGAGAGAGGAGAGGAGAGAGAGAGAGAAGATAATTAGCATTTACAATAAGCACTGAAAGCCTTATTCCTCAACCTTCATATTTACCGTTACAAAAAATGTTCCCTAATATTCCTCCCCGTTTTTTTACGTCGGCGGACCGCATAGTTTTCGGGCGCTCTCTCCTATTCTCTTCCATCGCCAGTTTGTTTATCAACTGTTTCCCCGCACTGGAGCTCACGGTCTCTCCTTTCCCGCCTTCCCTTCGCCTTCTAGCATTGCGTAAAACTCAAAAAGTCATTCAAAACCAAAAACGAAGAAAATCTGCATAAACGCTGGCCGGGGAAGTATCTCCGACCCATCGATCCAAAATTCCTCATCAGCTCCACTCTCTCTCTCAATCCCGCATTAAGCTTGATTAAAGTTTATCTTTGCAATGTTTCGCAAATCAATAATTCATACCTTCCCACGCTCCTCTCTCTCTCCGGCAACAGCGCCTCCCAAAGCACACAAATCCCCCCCATTTCATTCTACGAACGCCCCGACACCGCCTCGGATCCTCGCCCCGACCACGGACTCTCCGAGGCGCCGGGAAGCAGCAGCGAAGACAAGACGCCGTTCGCGGCTACTGGATCCCCGTCTCGTCGCGTGAACGTCGATCAGGAGAACGCCACCGTCGCCCACCTCTTTGCGTCATTTTAAACGCGCCATAAACTATATTAACCGCCACGACAACACACACGGGCGCACGAGGAGAGAAAGGACGTCTCAGGTACCGAGCTCCTGGGACTCCTCCGGGGAAGACGAGGAGTCCTCCCGTGCCTCCTCCTCTTCAGTGCCTTCATATCGACGCTTCTCTTTTCTTTATCACTTCCATCGTGTCTTTCCGTGATAATTGATATTCGTTTTGCTGTTCATTTCTCTCTCTCTTCTCTCTCTCTCTCTCTCTCTCTTCTTCTCTCTCTCTCTCTCTCTCTTCTTTCTCCTCTCTCTCTTCTCTCTTCTCTCTCTCTCTCTCTCTCTGTCCTCGTGAACCAGGGGAATTACACCGAAAACACGTCAAAGGAAGACAAAGGCCCAAAGCAGTGAGGTCAGTCTCTCTCCCAACTCACACAGACTTTCCAGTATAGGCCTACGCGACGCCTCCAGGAATTCGTTATACACCAGCATGTTTAAAGCCAGGCATCCGAGCGTGATACTGCGAGTCTTAAGGAAGGTATGTATGCATATGTACTATTTAAGGAGAGAGAGAGAGAGAGAGAGAGAGAGAGAGAGAGAGAGAGAGAGAGAGAGAGAGGAGAAGAGAGGAGAGGAGAGAGAGAGAGAGGAGAGAGAGAGAGAGAGAGAGAGAGAGCACTAACTAATCTTTGCTATGTTGGACAGAACAAGAGGTCCTTATCAAAACCTGCATTTTCGGGCGGCGCAGGGAGTGGAAATCAAGCGTTAAAGATAAAATCACCTTTTCGTCTCATCACACGCTGTACTCGACGAGCACTTGATATTCCATTCTGACTAAATGACTGGATATCTAACGCGCATACATCGCTTTATTCCCAACGACATTAATATTTATTTTTTCACGCCGAACTGCGATAATCCAGTCGGAACCTCGTCGGCAAAAGGACTCTGAAACCATTTTCATAAAAATGAGGCGAGGATGAGATTTCCAAATGGTCGCTGGAACAACCTCCCTCCAAATTGAAAACACGAAGATTAGAGACAAAAAATACTTGGAACTCGAAATGAGGCAATTTTTTAATGGGGCTCTAACCACGTTCTGACGACCTGTAGCGAGACCTCACATGATGAATATACACACATGTAAACCTACACACATCCAAATAAGAGGATGTGTGTATATATGGTGTAATTTATACACAAAATATACCGGTAAAAAAGTTACTCTCCCATTTTATTTTTTGGCTCATCCATTTTTTATTCAAATTGTCAAAAACTATAATCCGCGGGATAACTTTTAAATAAATACGTTAGTCTGGGAATACACGTTTTATCAGCGGGAGTTTTTTCACAGAGAATTCAATTCACCTAAATTGAAAGCTACCTGCTCGGACGGGAGCCTAACACATGCAGCCCGACATGAATTCATGCCACACACACAGGGCGAAAAGGAGGAAGGAAGGAAGAGAGAGTTAGAGTGTTAGTTAGAGAGAGAGAGAGAGAGAGAGAGAGAGAGAGAGAGAGAGAGAGAGAGAGAGAGAGAGAGAGAGAGAGAGAGAGAGAGAGAGAGAGAGAGAGAGAGAGAGAGAGAATGAAAAAAGAAGAGAAGTAGACTAACCGAGAGAACACTGAATTTTGAATGTTAACGTCTCTTTCTCTCTCTCTCTCTCTCTCTCTCTCTCTCTCTCTCTATATATATATATATATATATATATATATATATATATATATATATATATATACATACATGCATATTTATATATGCAATTAAACTCGATGAAAAAAGCCCGAATTCACACTGCGCAGCGTACGGGACAGAAAGACTCGCCCGAAATTGTCCCCAATGTTATGTAATTTTCGCTTCCCAAACCTGATTAACAGATCCCTGCATGTCACCGTCAGCTCCACCAACTTCACTTGCAAAATACAGAGCGGAATTAACCGGAGTTTTTCCCTGTCCGTAAACTGGAGATGAATCATTGATCCCGAGCATACAAAATAGACTCAGAAAGAGGAAGAGAAAAAAGGTAGGGACTGTAGCAACCACTTTTGTGAGTAACCTGTTCGCTAACAGCACCTTTTCCTTGCTTGCACAGTTGCATGCATTTGCAATTTCTGGAATCCTTTTTCTTTGGGCCGTCACGCTTGGTTGCATGGCAGGTCGCTTACCCATTTCTCTTCGCTGAAATTACTCCTGGTAGGATCGAGTCTGTGATCAAATAATATATACACACCTACATACGTATACAGCGTATCTATCTTTTAATTTATTCATTTATATGACCATCCGTCCATCGCTCTGCCGGTATAAATGTTTAATAATTTGTATTCAATATGTAGGATTGTTTTTTCCAAACACGTGTACGATGAAAATATGCCAATTCGTAAAGAAAAACGCGTCTTCCTCCCATTCCATTTTCTCGTGTAAAAATATTTTACAAATTTAGGATAAATTAGGATCCAAAACATCGAACAAGCCATCGCCACCAGCGGAGCGGCCAACGACTCGGGCATTCCACAAACCCCCTTTCACGTCATCGCTGGCCACATCTCCACGCGAACATCGTCAACAAAGCGCCATAACAAGGCAGGAAACGACGAAAACTGGACGAGAAAACAGGTAGGAAACTGCCGAGAAAGCCGAGGAGGCGACGCCGAAACGCGCACTCTTGCGGCGAGACAATGCTTTAGCGGTTCGCGAAATTCGAAGATATTTCCGATCTCAAAAAATCAATCTGCATTTATCGCACTCTCCCTACTCACCTCGAAGCGAGGAAGCACTGCGATGTTATTTATTCAGATTTACTCCCAAATACCCCTCAAATGTTCTAGAAAATGAAAAAAACAAAACAAAACAAAACACGAACTTCAGTCAACTTACCTATCATACATCGTCGAGCTTTCTTCCAGTGATGAAAATTGTTATCCTTTGTACAATCCACTTTCATGTATCTTAAAATCACCTCTTTAACATTCACTAACACTGGTATATCTCCACAGCACTTTTTCTTTATTCTGAGTAAACCAAAAAACTTTTTTTCGGTGCCGTGTGGCTTGGCTGCTTAAACACGTATATAATTTTTACTCCATCGCGAAATCTAAACCACACACCACGATCATTCTCTATAACTTCGTACTCAACAAAACACTTTTCGGTAAAAATCCTGTTATTTCTTTTAACAACTTTACAACACTTATTTGACCCCGAATGAAGGGGAAGATCAGGAGAGAGAGCGGCACAGTCCCGTCCCGCCGACGGCTCAACTGACACTGAACTCCCAATCGCCGACCTGCCCGGGGCTCACACGCGCAGGGCTGCCAACAACAGAGGTCAGACTACACCGCCATTTTAGCATTATTTTCGCCTTCCACGTAAATACCTACCGCAGGAATGCTGGGATTTGTCACGTTTTTGGTCCCTAGAATTAAGGAATCTCGATAAAAGATGTGGAACATAACAACGAACGCTCAAACGACACCATTCATCGGTAAATCAGAGGATGGTGTACCAGGGCTGCCAACCTGTCGCCATGGACGCTTCATGGAGGAGTTTCGGATACAAACAAAATGCGTAAAATCCAATAAAAATACACACTTTCGAACAACCACACCACTACCTAACAAAGACGAACTCTCAAATAACAGGATTCAAGCAGCCGGTCCTCAACGCGCTGACGAATCGCGGAGAAGCCAGGGACTAAAGGCTATCGCACATTGGACCAAACACAGCTTTGTTAATTATATGCATAGTATTCAATTTCCGCTTCATCCTCTCGTGGCTCAACTTTGGTAATATTGCTAATGGCGGAGACAGTCGCCGGAGTTTGTTTACACCCAAGTGACTGTGTAATAAGAATAATTCCTCTTTGTTTCATGACGACTTCACTGCAAAGTTGATTCAGCTGCCATCGAATTGCACTATACATGCCATTAATGTGATCATGAAATACAATGAAGTAATTGTATAATTCATGCATTGATGATATACAAGAATCATGGAACACATGGAACACCAGATTCTTGGTATATGACGTTAGATTTAATAATGTAAACTGAAAATATATTCTGCAAATAATTGAAATAAGAATTAGCCATTGATAATCTTCATTGCTTTTCAATCTTTATATCTATATGATATTGATGATGAAACTAATGATAACAGTAGCGACGGTGTGGATAATTATGATGATTATAATAATAATGAAAAGTATTATGATACTGATAATAATATTAAACTATTTGCCATGAAAATAACAGTAGCAGTAATAACGATAACAATACTGTAATAATAATAATGATAATAATAATGATGATAAAAAAATATGACGATAATAATGATTATGAATGATAATTGTTATGATAATGATAATAACAATAATAATGATAATAGTAATAACAATGATAATGATATTGATAATAATGACAATGATGATGATGATAATAATAATAATAATAGTAACTATTACTAATAGCAATAATAATAATGATGATGATAATAATAATAATAATAATAATAATAATAATAATAATAATAATAATAATAATAGCAACTATTATTAATAACAATAATAATAATGATAATAATAATAATAATAATAGAAATAATGACAATAATAATAATAATAATAATAGTAATTATAATAATGATAACCATTACTAATAACAATAATAATATGATAATGATAATAAAATAGATAATAATAATGATATAATAATATGATGATAATAATAATAATAATAATAATAATAATAATAATAATAATAATAATAATGATAATAACATTGATGATAATAAAAACAATAATGATATTAATGTAAATAATGTTGATGAAAATAACAATAATGATTATCATAATGATAACAAAATAGTAATAATATTGGTAATAATAATCATGATACTAATAGTAGTAGTAGTAGTAATAACAACAATAACAACAACAATTATAATGATAAAAATGATGATAGTGATTATGATAATTCAAAATGAATAATAGCAATGACAGTGATAACAATCATGATTTTTATCAATATCATAACCATTATGATAAATGATAATAATAATAATAATAATAATGATAATAATTATAATGATAATGATAATAATAACAATGATAATTATAATAATAACAATGATAATAATAATTATAATTATAATAATAATAATAATGGTAATAATAATAATGATGATGATGATTATTATTATTATAACAATGATAATAATAATATTGATATTAGTAATAATTATAATGATAATAATGATGATGATAATGAAAATGATGATAAAAAACTAATAACAACAATAATGATAATGACAGTAACAATGGTACCAATAACAACAGCAATTATGATAATGATAGTGATAATAACAATAATATGTACAATGAGAATATTGATAGAATTTAGACAATGTAGATAATAATAGTAATAATAATAACAATAACAATAATGATAACAATGATAATAATAATAATGATAATAATGATACTAATAATGATTATAATAACAATAATTACAATAATAATAATAATGATAATAATAATAATAATAATAATAATAATAATAATAATAATAATAATAATAATGATAATGATAATATCAATAATGATAAAGTAACAAAAGTAATAGGAATGATGATAATGATGATAATAATAATAGTAATGATAACGAGGATGATAATAATAACAGTGATAATGATAATGATAATAACAATGATAATAATAATAATAATAATAATAATAATAATAATAATAATAATAATAATAATAATAATAATAATAATAATAATAATAATAATGATAATAAAAACAATGAATATAATAAATAATAATGACAATAATAATAATAATGATAATAATAATGATAATAATAATAATAATAATAATAATAATAATAATAATAATAATAATAATAATAATAATAATAATGATAATAGTAATAATAATAAAAAGGATGAAAATGATAATAATAATGATGAAAATAATGATAATGATAATAATAACAATAATAATAATAATAATAATAATAATAATAATAATAATAATAATAATAAAAATAATAATGATAATATCAATAATGATAATAATGACAACGATAACAGTAAACATCATCACCGTCATCATAATAGTAATAATTATACTGATAATGAAAATGCTAATGATGATAATAACGATAGCAATAGTAATAATAACAGTGATAATAATGACAATAATAATAACAACTAAAATAATGATAATAATAATAATAATAATAATAATAATAATAATAATAATAATAATAATAATAATAATAATAATAATAATAATAATAATAATAATAATAATAATAATAATAATAATAATAATAATAATAATAATAATAATAATAATAATAATAATAATAATAATAATAATAATAATGATAATAATGATAATGGTAATGATAATATTAACAATAACGATAGTCACTATGAATACAGTAATAAAGGCAACAATAACGACAAGAGTAACTATGATAATGACAATGAAATTAATAAAAACAAAATAATTATCACAACAATAGCAACAATAATGATAATGATAATACTAATAAAAACAATGATAATGATAATATTTGTAATAACAGTTATGATGATGATAATAATAGTAATGGTAATAGTAGTAAAAATAATAATGATAACAATAATAACGATAATGAAGATAAGATTAACTATGATAATGATAATGATGATAATAATAATGAATACAATAAAAATGATAATGGAGATAATAATAACTGATAAAGTAATAATAATGATACCAATAATACTGATAATTATAATGGTAATGATTACGATGGCAATCATTAGGATAATGATAACAACAAATACAATGATTATACGGATAATAGTGGTAATAATAATAGTAATGATCATAATGATTATAATGATAATAATGCTGAAAGAAATAATAATGATCACGTAATCATAATGATATCAAATATAGTGATTATGATAGTAATAATTGATGATAATTATAATGATAATACAATGATAACAAAATGATAATAATAATGATAATAGTAATAATAATGATAATAATAAGAGTAATGATGATGATAATAATAATAATAATAATAATAATAATAATAATAATAATAATAATAATAATAATAATAATAATAATAATAATAATAATAATAATAGCAATAGTTTTAATAATAACTATAATAACAATGATAATAATAATGATAATCAAAGTAAAGGTGATGATGATGATAATGATAATGAAAATAATAATAATAATACGTATAACAATAATAATACGTATAACAATAATAAAACGATAATGATAATAATTACGATATCTAGAACAATAATGATAATAAAGACAATTGCAGTGATGATAATGATAAAAGATAATGATGATAATGATAATAGTAAGAATAATGATAATTATTATGATAATAGTATTGATAATAATAATAATAATAATAAAAATAATAACGGTAATGAAAATGAAAATAATAATGAAAGAATGATGATGACAATAACAATGATAAATGATGATAATGATAATTATAATGATAGTAATAAAAGATAATAGTGGTAATTATAATAACGAAAACAAAAACAACAGTAACCGCAAATCAACGCTAATAATAGTAATAATGATGGTGATGAGAGTGATGATAATAAAAATTGTAAAGATGATAGTGATGACATTATTATTAATGATAATGATAACAATGATAATAATGATGATAGTAATAACGTTGATAATACTACTACTAATAATAACAATGATAATAATAATAATGATAAAGATAATGAAAATAAGAATGATGATATTAATAATGACAATAATCATTATAATTATTATCATTATCATTGTAAGGGTAATGGTGCCAATAATGAAAAATATGATAACAGTAATAACTATTATCAATACTATGACTAGTACTGTTGTTAATAAAATAATGAATAACATCATTATCATTATAACTGCTGTTATCATCAATATTATTATAAATTATTTCCTTATTGATATTATCTTATTATCATTGTTATCATCATTATTGCCGTTATTCATATAATCATTACTATCATCATTATCACTATTATTATTGTCAACATTTTTGTCATATTGCAAATCTAACCCCCACCAATTACACCTTTGTCACATCAAGAATTTCCATATACAAATTAAATTCTAATCTTGCTTCCTTACTTCTGCCAATGTCTCAAGATCAGTTCGAGTACAATTGATGACGGTGTTACCTCGGCATCGCCATCACCACCCGGCG